AAATTCAACTAATTTTACATCAATAAAATCATCATTCATACACTATTTCCACTTCAGGGTATCAGAGCATTCAAGACTCCCACAATTAATCGCTAATAAATTTTTTCGACATCTACCTCCTATGTCATCTAAGGATTCATTCTTCTCTTAAATACACATTCCAAACCCTAATCTATCACCACCTCTTTGTTTCTACCGCTCTCAAACCATTTCCGATGGCCAACAAAACTACAACTGTTACTCAAACCAACTAACCAATAATGAAAAATTTGGTGCAAAACAATGTAGGCTCCCAACTCCTAATTCTCTTTACCTCTTCTAGTTATTTTTCCTGGAAGGTGCAATTCACCTCACTATTCTATGATCCCTATCTTATATGATATCTAGATGTTACATCAACATCATTTTGTCCTACTCAAAGTATCAATATTTGTGATGTCAAGACTCTACAATATCAACCACCAATCTTTTATATTCGAAAGTAGGATTACACTCTTTTCATATATAATTGTATTGTACTAGTGTAACAAATTCGATGAGAAAAAGATCGAGACTTGCTTACTTGTAACATGGTATCAAAGCAGCCAATTAACCTTTGATTCATTTCTCACCAAAATACCTAGCTTTATTCATGTAAACTTTTCCTTAAACACATGGTAAACGTCAGAACTATCACCAACCCAGGCGATTCTAACCTCAATTCTGAAGCCTTGTTCCAAAGAATTCATAAATAAAATGGCAGAAGTTTTGTCCAAAACACATATTCAACCCCAATTGGCATCAAGTAGGACAGTTCCAACTATGCACTTTGGTTTCAAGTGATAGAGATGTACATCTTCAAAAAGGATNATTTTTGGTGCTATTGTCGGGGACTATTACTTTTAGTCTTAATTTATTTTATTTTTAACTGTTATATTATTATTATTATTATTTTCCAGAAAAAGGTGATTATTGTATGCTCTATACCTAAAGCGACGATCTTGAACAGTTTAATTTGAAAATAAGAAGACGTACTTTCAGACAAAGACGTAAAGAACAGAAACAAAAATAGCAACATCAAACAACTAACAATCAAATAATCCTATTCCTGTACTACCAATTGGACAAATGGCCATGAGAGATTAACAGCAAGAGCAAAGGGAAATAAATGAAGGAGACTAGCAAGTATCTATGTTCTTGACGCCTATAGTAGCACTCGCACGTTCCAGTATTGTGTATTCAAATTTTGGGGTGAACGAATTTCAGATAAGGACAGACTGCACTAATTTGATAAGCAATACTCTGCAATTTTGCTAGCTACATCATGAGAACCCAAACACACATATCTCTAGATTTCTAAGGAATTGTCAAAATTGTCATGCTCTTGGGGTTAATGAGAATGCTATCAAACTGCGATTATTTCTATATACACTGAGAGATGAAGCATTGAAATGGCTAGATATCGAATCTGATGAAAGTATTACCACATGGGAAGAGCTGACCAGGAAGTTCTGCAGTAAGTTCTTTCTACCAGCTAAAATAGCAAAAATCAAACTGAAAATTCAAAGCTTCCAACAGAGAGATCGTGAGAGCTATCACGAGATATGGAGCATATTTAAAGAATTGATGAGGAAGCGTCCAAACCATGAGTGGTACAATCAAAAGTAGTTGTAATGTATGAATTAGGTAGCTTAGCATCTATCAATGCCCAAATAGCAGCATTAAAAAACAGGTTGAGTTATTGTTGAGGTCGCTAACAAAAATAGCACATGTTGTGATGGCCAGTTTATCATGTGAAAATTGTGGAACTAACCATTTGACAAAAAATCGCACGTCTATGAGCTTTTCTGAGGAACAAGTCAACTTCATTCAGAATGGCTCTCGAAATATTAACCCATTTGCACAAACATAGAACCCATAATGGAGACAACATCCAAACTTCATATAGTCGGATAATCAGCAAGTGAACAGTAGAAAAAACCAAGTTTAGGGAAGATGTTCAACTAGTATATGTAGAAGATAGAAAAGATTTTCCAGCAAATTGACATTAACTTTTAGAATAGGCAATCATCCATCAAGAAACTAGAGACACAATTTGGTCAGATAGCTTAACAGTTTGCAGAACACCAGCAAGGAAAATTGCCGAGCAACACAATGGTCAATCCAAAAATACAAGTACAAGCTATTACAATCAGAAGTGGAGTACAACTTCTAGAGATACATGTGAAGAGACCAGAATGAAGAGACAAAGAGGTAATGGTTGAAGAGGCCGATAAAGAAGAAGAGTCTGTACCAATCACTAATGGGGATGAAGAAAGGAAAGAAATATCCACAGTAAGAGCACCAAGCCCCGTAAATGTTTAAGTGCCACCAATTCCCTTTCTTTAAAGGTTACAGAGAAAAAAGTTAGACAAGCAGTTTGCCAAGTTTGTAGAGATTTTCAAGAAACTGCACATAAATATCGCTTTTGCATATACAATAACTTAAATGCCTAGCTATGCAAAATTCTTGAAAGAGATTCTATCTAATAAAAGAAAGTTGGAAAAACATGAGACTATCCGTCCGAACGAGGAGTACAGTGCAATTCTCTTGAAAAAGCTACCTCATAAGCTAAAGGATCCAGAAGTTTCACGGTACCTTGTACAATTGGTTCTAATTATTTTGAGCATTCTTTGTGTGATTTAGGTGTCAGTGTAAACTTGATGCCTCTCTCTATTTACAGGTATCTCAGATTGGAAGAAGCAAAACCTACAACAATCTCCTTACATTTGGCTGATAAATCAATTAAACGACCAATGAAAATTATTGAAGATGTGCTAGTCAAGGTCNTAACCTTTATTGGGAACTGCATTCGATTTCCCATGGCTCCCCAAAAAGAACAAGTAAATTATATCTAGAATAGTTCTACCCATATGTACAAACATATAATCTAGGATAAAGGCAACACCCAAACTTACATATTCTGATAATCAATGATAAAATATTAGTTCAAATCATTTCCAATAAAAAGGAAAACCAAGTTTGGCATATATGTTTCAACAATATATGCAAAAAATGAACAAAGTATTTCAGCAGATTGATACAAATTTTCAAAACCAGAAAATGTCTATTGAGAAATTGGAGACACAGATTGGTCAAATAGCTTAGCAACTTACAAAATGCTTACAAGGACCATTGCCAAGCAATACAGTGACCAATCTAAAGGAGCAAATGCAAGCTATAACAACCAGAAATTAATGCGAAGAGACTAGAAAGAAAAGATTAACAGAAAAACAATGAGGAACCCAAAAAATAAAAAAATTTGCACCATATAAGTTGAGGAAGAAGAAAGAAAAGAAATACCAACAGTAAGAGTACTGACGATTGTGTTTTACTCACAAGTTTAAGCCGATTTTAACTTGATTGAAAGCTAGATTTTGTGAGTATTAAACGTTTTTAATGTTATTTTATAGGATTGTTGAGATGGTGAAAGACACGAAGAAGTTTATCAAATAAAGCTATTGACATTATCTAAAAGAAATTGTGGATATATGGGTAGAAGAGGAAAAGCAAAAAGATTGAAATAGTGGGGCCGAGGCGCTACGAAAGGGAGAGAAACAAAGTTGTGGCGTCGTGGCGCCAAGGGAGATCGAAGCGTCCCCAATCCAGATAAGCGCGATGCCACTGATAGATGTAAATAGGGCCCATTTGAAGTCCATGAGAAAACCCTACTTTCTACACACGAGAAGGCACCTGTAAATACAATTTTCTTACACGTTTAAGTGGGTTTAACACATTGAGAGGCAAGAAACACACTTTGAGATTAAAGAGAAGCATTTCAATAGAGGAAAACAACAAGCAAACGTTTTGAGCATTGATTTGAAGAAAGAGAAGATCTTGGTTTAAGATTGATAATTTTTCTTCTACAACTTTACTATAAATCTGGTAATGTGCTCAATGATTATTTATTGTTTCTCTTCTTTCGTTATGACTAGCTAAATCTCTTGTTAGGGTGAATAATGTAATCCAATTGGGATCCATTATGTCTTTTAATTAAGATTGTTGTTCTTTATTTTCTTCATGTATTGATTTTACTATGAGTTTAACGCATTAAAAAACTTGATCACTAATTTGACGATTTCGTGAATCCTTTATGAATCGAGAGGTGAGTTTAGGATTTAGACCATATAATAAAATCTTGTAAATTGGTATAACGTATAGAGATACCTATACTAATTATTGCAGTCATAATTGAATTTCTAGAACAAAGATCTTGTTTAACTAAGCTTGATTCATATAGAGATATGGAATTGAATTAATTAAATAGGGTCAATAAGAACTCAAGACGGGTAAATTGAATACAATAAGAGAATTCGACCAAACACTACTTTAGATTTTATGAATCTTAATTTAAGATGTAATGTAAGGATGATCAATAGGTAAAATTATTTTGCCCTAATAGTTGTCTTATTTAGTTTCTAAACTAATCTTGTGAGCATCCACTTGTTTTAATGTATTTAGATTAAAATTCAAACTATAAAATTTTTTATCTGCTTTCATCGAATATTGTTTAGAGAAAAATTAAATTAAGTGCTAAAGTATAATTTTTGTGGGAACGACAATCCGGACTCTTAGGTTCACTTTATGACTTGATACGATCCGTACACTTGCTGGATAATATCATTGACAATAGATTTTTGGTGCTATTGTCGGGGACTATTACTTTTAGTCTTAATTTATTTTATTTTTAACTGTTATATTATTATTATTATTATT